CGAGCACGTTACCTCCTTCAGCCGTCGCATGGGAACGGAAATAAAGTAGAAATGTTCAATTGTGGGTGCGAACTTATGACCAGCTCGTGTGCCAGTTTTCGTTTTCTTCAATTTGTAGTTTTCTATTTTTCACTCTCCGAGGGAATAGGAAAGAAGAACCTCATTTTCACAATTAATCTTCTTGAATGACTATTCCGCATGAAGAGAAGCCTCGATCAATTGTTCCACTGCCGCGCAATTAGATGCATTCTCATAAAACTCAATATTTGAAAAAGTCACATCTTTTACGGAAAACTAGCCAATCACAGACACTTCCAGGGAATCCCCCCTTGCAATTACACAATAGACGGGTACAACAGTAGACAGATATTCAAATGGCGCAGTGATTTAGGAACACAGACGCCTTCTGGTTGCAAATTTGCATACGAATCATAATAGAATATTTAATCACCCTAGTCTTCGCTAAACAAAACCTGTTGAGACAATTGGTGCACATCTTCATCACCAACGTCAATTGAATTAAGAAGACAGGGAGGCCTTGATATGTTATTATAACCAATGTTCAGCCTTGAAAGAAATAATGTTACTTGCGGCGTAAAAAATTAAGTATTTACTGGTTAATTTGTGTTCGTGCATTGAAAATCTATTTCATAGGCACCGCACAAATGGTATTTAATTCCATGCAAGATTTAGGCTGCGCCCTTGTCCACTTCGTTTGCTCCCAATTCTGCCCGCTGAACAAAGATAACTGACAAAGACTGAAAAGTTGCGTTTGATATCACTTGTTTGCAAACAGGAATGCAGGACGTACCCTCAATTAGACTGACAAACAGAGTGTTTCAATTACATTTACCGCGGCAAGTTATGATCAGTGATAGTGAAATTAGATTTTCAGTAGACCTCGTTACTCAGGCACAGATGTTGTTGTTGTTGTTGTTTTAACTTTGCTTTTGTTGCTTTTGTGTGTTGTTGTTGATTTTGATTTTTTTTTTAACAACCTTGTCCACTTTCTCTGCTTTTTCGCTGGATCATGTGAAAGTGTTTTTTTTTTTTCCTTTTTATGATACAGAACTTTTAGCAATATTGTTTATGTGTCCATTGCGTAAGACTCTCTACTTGGGTGTCGGTGGCGTATGCCTATAGAGGGATGTAACATCGAGTGGATTGCGATGTGATGTACCCAGTAAAGTGGAACATTTCCTCGGTAACTAAATCGATTGTAGGGGGTAAGTTTCTAAAGAAACTACGAGTGGTGCTACGTCGGTGGGGGAGAATGACAAGATAGTTTGGTTTTGTCAACTCAGTTGATAATTTATCAATTCAGTTGATAAAACCAAATTATCTCGAAAATTCCTTACGGTGGCCTATTTACATGATGTAAATTGGCGATCGTAAATAGTGTTTAAGGCTCTGACGGAGGGCTAACTTTCGAAACGTCAGCTTCAACAACTCTTAAAGATGGCCAAATTACATTATCAACTCAGTTGATAAAATCAAATAATTAACGAAATCGAATTACTCTCTTTTGTTACCTTTCGCGCTTTAAAGTCATAATGAGAGGTAGAGCAATAAACCAGCTGGTCAAAACAGTCGAGTTGCTAAGTTCGTTCAGAGGCGTGCAATAAAAATTAATTGGATAAAAACAAGAGATCATCCGATGTCCCCTGGATAAAGTATCTTGGTTTTATTTTAAGAAGGTTACAAAAGATCGCCTATTAAGCCGTTTTCGAGATAACCAAAATCTCCGCTCTAAAACTAATATTTGATTCTATCTTGTGGATAAAACTCATGAAAGTGAGGATTTGTAGAATTGAATTGTGCCGAGTTATTGTCTCTGGCAATGAGCTGGTAAGTATAGTGATAAATCTCATGATCGCCCTGAGGGAGAAATCGTTTGAACGATGGATTAAGGGCATTAAATTCTCATTTGAAGAAATCGTTTTCTCTCGCTGCACCAGTGATAAAATGGTTTTTAAAAATTGCAACTCCACCTGTAAGTAATATGTGTAGACCTTCTACTGATTGGTTGTACGGATTGAGATAAAAAAAATCCAGACGAAGCACGGTTTAATTGAATAATATTATCGAGTTGTTCTCTCTAGCTAAACAGTAGTGGCATAGCGCCCAATATAGAATATCAACGGAACAAAAGCGGTAATGAACGTTACTGATCTCAGCGTGCTATGTCGCACGTGAATTAAGGTAGCTTTTTCCGTTGGAAACGAATGGGTATAGAATGTCTGAGTAAACTGACAATGCTATGAAAATAATAGAATCAGCTTTCAAGATTTTGCAACTAGAGGGGAAACATTAGAAAGTGCGAAAGGGCGTGACATATACTCTGAAAATGATGGCACTTGCCTTGCTTCACCTTCAAAGTGCCACTATCCAATCTGACAACGCACAGACCAAGGGAATCCCCTTTACAACTACATACAGATCAGGGCGGGCAGATTCATTGACGCACGGGTGTGTCGCAATTAGAGCAGTCATGCGTGTCATGAATGAGACACTTGCCGAGCGTTGTGTAAACAGTCTAAAACACATTAATCCTTTACGCCCTTATTTTAGTAATCATGTTCTCCGCACTTTTCTCTTTAAATTTCCTTTGATACTGACAGTGAAAATTTATTTAAGCGAGCTTTTTAAAACGGTGATAATTTCCTTTACCTTGTGACCTTCGCATTTGATTCAAGGAAGATACTGTACAGAGAAATTAGAAATCAGTCACCCTCAGGCGCAGGCATTATAAGGTTAATCCTCTTCAAAACGGATGAATTTGGTATTCATTCAATATCGAATAATTAGGACAATAAAATATTGGTTTCTGTGCAGATCAGAAATTTACTGTTTCCATAATGTTGCCCTCTTTATTATAAAACGTTTGTTAACAATTTAGGGAACCGAAAAACTTCCATTGTTTTCTTGTCACGCTATGGAAGTTTTCGCTTTGATACTATGCATCACTTCTAACTGCAATTTGTGAACATTACGTGGGGCCCTCAGTTCGTAAGTGTGTATGGGAAACATTTATGTGTCATCTTTATGAAATTAAAGGAAGTTTCAAACACTTTATCGTCCAGCATTTTTAACGGGGGAAGGGGACGGGTGTCAGACGAATCATGTCCCTAAGCATGGATGATCGATGAACTGTCTAAGATTAAGCTACATGAGAGCATAAAATAGTCGGATCAATATCAGTATCTAAGCAACTGCCCACCTACCCCTCCCCTAACCTGACAGCAGTCAATTGATGACAAGTTAGGGTTAATGTTGGGTTAGGGGAGGGGTAGGTGGGCAGTTGCCCAGATACTGATATTGATAATAGTCTGTTGCATCTGACAACGTCAGAGATTTCTTTGCGACAATGTTTGTATGTTCGGATTGCCCCTCCCCCCCTCCACCCCACCCATCATTCTCAGGGTTTCTTTGTGTTATCACTCAATCCTATTGTGACCTTTACTGTGTTAATAGAGGCTAAGAATGCGACGGTAATCTTGGCAATGTAGACGAAATTTTTATAAGCTCACAGGATTAACGGGAAAAAAGAAATCCATGGTTCGTAGTTTAACTGAAAAGGTTAAAAGATTATACGTCATATAATGGCGGAATTCCGTTGTTGTTAGGGGGTAGGGGAAGGGAAGGATTAGTTTTTAAAAGACCTCTGTCCCTCAGTGAGGATAAACTTTTAGTTATTATATCATACACTCTCCGGACTCAAAGAAAAGCGACGACAGATATCTCTGATACATTTGGTAGACAATCAAGTCCCCTATCATTCTTACAGTTTCTTTCTGTTATCCCTCAGACCTCTTATGACCGTAACTGCGTCAACACAAGCCAAGAACTAGACTATCATCTGGGTGGTCTTTGACGAAAGCGATTACACCTCTATCACCCGAAGCTGATAGGGTGAGCAGATGAAAATTGATATGGTTCGTGAAAGGTTAAATTCCAGTTAACGGTGTTAAATTTCGAGTCTCGTCTGCGTTTTTTTATTTTTTTCGTTTGTAAGTCTGAATAGCTGGTCAGATCGCTGAATGTTTCCTTGTTATTTTTTTTTCCCTCGAACTGTTTAAAAATTGTTTTGAGAGAAAAGATTGGCACGAGACAGAGCGTTTTTCGAGGATGCAGTCTCGACCCAGCCCCATCGGGTTCAAAAATCAATCACGTGTTTGCTTTTCCTTCGCGTTGTTGCGTACGATGGTAGGAGGAAGAGAGCAGTAAAAGAAGTATAGTAGCCAATACTCGCGGGCTAAGTTTTTCGATTTTAATGGGAATTTCGAGCGGCAGAGCTGGGAAATGAGCGGTATAGACGTGAGAGGAATGGGACCGAGAACATCGAAGGGATGATTTCTAAAGATAAAAGAATGTTACTTAAAGCAGGCAAATTACAATAATGATTATACCACGATGGTCTGATCCATTCCTGGACTGCGAAGTCTCCGCCCTGGTTGTTAAAAAAATTGTTGTATCTCCTTCGCGAGAAAATTAGCAATTCTGCATAAATTATGGAAAATGTGTTATATGTCAAACATTGCAGAACCCACGCCCAGGTCTATAAATAGATCATTGGGATTGTCGTAAGTATGAAGTTAAAGGTGATATTATCGGTTGTTTAAAATGACGTATTTCCTGAGGGGTATTCCCCGGATTGCAAGTTTACGATTTGGCGCGAATTTTTTTCTCGAGATTGAGGAAGCGGCCGTGCTTTGAAAAATTTTATTTCTTTTCATATAGCACCGAAAAAGAACCCAGCTCATCTTGAATCGAAATCGGCGCCACAACCAACTGAAATTATACTCGGTCAAAAAACAAGAAAAAAGGAAAACACGCGGATTCTCTAATTGGTTACTTTTGTAAAGTGAAAGTTTCACTGCTCTCTGTCAAGGAGTCTTAAAGTCTATATATAGTGGATTTAGTCAATTTTCGATCGATTTTTCAGTCGGTTAGTCTGTTTGTCAGTGGGCCGTGCAGTCAGTCATTCAATTACCAGGCAATAAGTTGGTCATTCATTTATTCAACGTACCAGGAAGTCAGTCAGTTAGTCGGTTGAATAGTAGGCAAATTAAACGGTTACTTTTTCAGTCGGTCGATCGTATCTCTAAGTTAATCAGTTGTCAGTCGGTAAGTCAATCGTTCAAGCAATCTCTCATCAGTTCATCAGTCCATGGCCGTCTGCTAAAGAAATCGTATGACCACTTTTTAGAGTTTGCTTCACAGATGCTGCCATCCAGTACAAAATCGTTACATTTTGTAGCAAGCAATCCAATTAGGGAGTTAAAATCCTTGAGGTTGTTCCTCCATTAGCGATAAATTATTCCAATCCAACTTAGCAATATTCGCTACCATCTCCCGCCAACAAGGCTTTTCACTTCTTTCATGTTCCCTTGAAATAAAAGAAAACATGTTATGTTTCAATTTCCATGGCTTTCCCTTCCATATCGATTTAAGCAGATACAGAGGACGACCACTCAGGAGTCAAGTTAGCCATAGGCTATAATATTTTTATTAGTATTTTTAGGCCGTTTTATGCTAATAATAGAACGATCTAAGTTAAACGTAGAATTTTCTTACCTCATTTCGACAGTTAATCGTTCAGAACAGAGGCTTTCTTTACTTTAGTTCCCCTTTTTTCTCCACTCTGCTGATCCAGACTTTACATTGGCCCCTAGACCTTACGACATCTTCAAACAAAAGGATAAGAGAGGAAATAATCATTGCACGATTGCTAATAAGTGTTCAGTATTTGAATAGCTCTTTTAACCATAGTGATATTGGTAATTAGTTCTAAAACACGCATTTTAATGATTGCGTCAAGCACAATAATAAAGGATATAAAATTCTAAAGACGGATCAGACAAGTTCACTCTACTTAAAGAAGTAGATCTTTAATAAAGTTTGATAACACGAAACAGCGCTTAAGGGAAATTGAAAAATATGACATTCTAGCCATGCTACGGTGGACATTGTCTAAAATATCAATCGATATTGTCTTCTTTGGTCATATCGATGTCCAATTATTTCGCAATTGCTTCCTTCCGCTGCTATGTGACACGGTCTTGATGCGTGTTACCTATTTAGATGGGAAAAGTCAAAACACGTTTTCGGTCACGGTTCACGGAGGTCACGAAATATATCATGGCGGTCTCGTGATAGATCCTAAAGATAACATTATCTCGCAAGAAACAGATCATCGTTACCGGAAGTTTTTTTGTTATATTTAGCAAACGATTTTAGCTCATTTTAAGGAGCTGATTACCATCATTATTTCTTAGTATATTCAAGAATCGATTTTTATTTTCATTGACGATTTTTTTACATTCTGATATTTTTGTTTTCATTATTGTATCGCAAAAACGTTAATCTTGAGCTTTTTTTCGAATTTGTACTAACATCAATCTATTGAGGATCTGCCGTATTTATTAGCCCTAAACTATAGCATAATTCAACATTTCCCCCCGCAGTCTGATTGCTCAATAGAGAATTTTAAAAAAAGGAGAAAAACCCAAATGTATTATACATTACCAATGTCAAGACTCGTAATCCATTTGATTCTTCGGGAGACTTTAAACGCCGAAAAAATTTTTGTAAATACCCGTGGATTAAATTTTCATTTTTCACGATTCTTCGTTTTTGATATTTTCGCTTAACACAAAAGTTGTTCATTAGCAGTTTAAATGATTAATAAGTTCCCTTATTTAAAACACCCACTTATTTCAAAATCGTTCGGTTTCGTGACAAACAGGCGTTATTTAGAACGCCTGGCAAACTTCGTGGCGCGATAAAAATTCAATCAGCTGACGAAAATTCTTTCACTTTGCCGCCGCGTCACTTACCACTGGCCAATCAGCGTTCGCCAATGGAGGAGGAGCGGGCTGATTTGATTGGCGTGGCTACCTTATGGGGGGTCGTGTTGTTCGCGCAAGGCTATTGCATATCAAGCATGCATGGCGGCATGCTACGAAATTCAGAGGCTAGTGAAATTCCCCTTCTTGGAGACTCTTCAACGCTTGCATGAAGAAACTTAATTGTTTTGCCTTTGAGAGGAATCTATATACTTTAAGGGAAAATCGTTCGCGGCGTCGTGATCGCTGTTAGGAATTGGAAAAGTGCTATGAATTCAATCGTCGGTTTGCGTTTCTAGCTTCTTGACTGCGTTCGACCTGACGCGTTACTGAGTTGCAAAGGCGGAGCATATCTGTTCTGGGGAGTGTGGTGGATTGCGTTGGATTGAAACAAGGGGAGAAAACTCTAGGAATTACAACACTGTGTGCAGGACCTGAATCAAAAAGCCATGTCAGGCGAGTTGAAATTTGTTTTGTTTGAGACTTGCATACGATGACGTGCTGTACTGTAAATCCGCGCAAACTACAGTGGTTGTTCGCTAGCTTACGTTCACATTTCAGTAATGGTTTCTTTGGGTTCCCATACAGCTTCTATTGTGAATCAATCCAGTGGGCATTTACCAAGCTACGACGCTGCTTAAAATTTTCCTTTGCATGGTTTATGTATGTATCAATCAGTCTCGAGGACGCCATTTTGTGATGAAGTCCAAAGATTGTGGCGCGTTCCAATTGAAAAGTTCAAAATTATTTTTAAAATCTCGGAAATGTTGAAAATATGAGACATGGAAACCAATTTGGGCTATCTCTGTTGAGCGAGGAGATCAAAAACTTCCAGGGAGTACCTTAAAATTCGCCAACCTATTGTCGCTTCGCTATCCTTTCCTTTAAACACAACCGCGGCCATTCATGGGTTATGTTGCCAATAACAGTTGATTTTTTATTCGATGGGCGTAACACACGGTTTTGGAATAAAGCGATTGCAATATGTATGGAAGGAAAAACATTAACGCCAAGTACTTTAGGTAAAGAGCTTCGGCAGATTGAAAACACGAGAAACTAGTGAATCTAAAAATGCGAACAAAGGCACGAACTACTGTTCTAGCGATATGAATAATTACTGCCAATGACATAAGATGGCGGAGGAACGGACGGTTAAAAAATCGAAAAGATGACTCGCTCAAAATCCGCTTTTTCTATTTTACTTAAGATCTTGGTCCGTTTTAGGCACCTACTATCTCGCGTCTTTTCAGTGCACAAAGAAACGCTTCTGTTAAATTGTTCTTCATCCTTTTACCGGGTGAAACATCTGCGTTCTTCGCGATTTTGTATTATTTATGAATGTTCATTTGTTGTTCTTCTGGAGTTCCCCGTAGAATTAGTGCATGGTTGAAATCGACAACGTTGCGATTTGATGCCAATTTCACTTAATGTGACAATGGAAGACTCGCGTTTCGCCCGGTCAGGCCAATGACTGTTTCTACTGAAAGTTTAAATCGCCATGGCTTCATTTGAATTAAGTTTGTTCGTAGTAACTACCGATCATTGATGCAAGCTATCAGCTGAGCGACCAAAGTCATGGACGCTCTGCACTGAGAAAACTTATTTCCTTCGAGAACGCTTGATCTGTTTTTAGTCAGACTACGTCTCATACAGCTTAGTATTGTTATTAGTGTAAAAAGTATAACGCGTGTTGCAAGCAACATTTCCTATCTGTGCGTATGCCTTGTTTTTTATCTCACTTCTAATTGGATTCGATTTTCTTCCTTTATCGCAGGAAGAACAAAACGAGGTCCAGGTAGACCAAGAATTACAGAGACTGTGGTAAGTAGCTAAACTATTTTAGTCTGAAAAGAAGGTTACAGGGTTAAATCTCTGCTTTCTTATTCCGACACGTTCACTCACAAGATTTTATCAAAACTTGCATTTCTCCTTAATGGATCTATTGTTTGAATCCAAACTTTTGAGCTTGGCTTCCTGTGCGAATAACAACAAGTCTCTGTTAGTTTTGTAAAGGAAAAAAATTATTAGACAACCCTAAGTGAACAGCAAGAGAAGGGTGTACTAAATTTAGTTTTATTGTGACCTTCAGTGGGAACATAGTCATTAGAGCCTTGCTTTCTAACTGAAAATCAACCACTAAGCGATGCAATCTGTTATGTTAAGATTTTTGTTCAACATTTGTTCTGTCTTCTGTACTATTTGCAGAATTTATCCTTGTTATATCAAAATATTCAAGGTTATCAAGAAGTAATTTTTTTCAAGCCCTCACTTTACAAGTTAAAATATCACTCCCATCAAATTGTTACCAATAATTATGACTTTCACCTTCTTTAGCTTAAGGGCATAGACTACTATTTCGTGAATTAGTCTATACAGATTACTGGTACTATGGAAATATTTTGTTTACCATAATCTAGCATTGGCTTTCAGTGCCTGCAGTTTTGACAACATCTCTCTAATTCTTGAACTAAGAATTTTCAGAATCTTCAACTACTATTTGTTTTATTCTTAAAATTGAAAAAGTGTCTAATACTATTTTTAGTTTTCTACTGGTTAATTAGTTTGTAAGTAGACTATCTTGGCAACTTTGGATTTGGTTTGTTTCCTGTCCTGTCGAGAAGAATGTTTATAGTTTTAAGGTAAAGGGAAATAGGAAATCTATAGCAGGAAGTATTTAAAAACATTTTCTTGTGTCAATCAGAAAGTTTTGATGACTTAAGTAATTTCTTTTCCTTAAATACAGTGTAAATGGCAGTAGGCCTTATTTATTGAAAATTTCATCCTGTATCAGATGCCAGTAAATTCTATCAGACTGACTTTTTGAGAAGTGTCTCTTATGATGGCAGAAAGGTGAATGTGATCATAACATACACAATTTGTCATGGTTGATGTGTTTCTTTTGTACTCAAATTACTCTTGAAAGGTTTAGATCCATTTTCAGAATAGAATGGGGTGCAAGTTGTAAAGAGTGTTTTGACTGTCATTTGTGTTATAGTGTGCAAGTGTATTGGGTTCATGATTAGCGGCCTATTTAAATTCTCATCAGCAAAATGGCAAATTTTATTAGTATTTTGTGTTTGGCTACTGATTAAATTGCTATGCAAACAGAATACTCTGTTATTTGAGTTATTAACATGTGGACGTGACATCAAGTTCTTAACTATTAATGGTGCTGTTTGGCATTTGTGAATAATTTGAGATGTGGTGAGGTAACACTAAATATTGTTTACACAAAATCTTTGCCAGAACCAAGGCCAAGGAAATTTTTGTTTAAAAGGAGGTCATAATTTCTCAGGAATTCTTGACGTGTCTTATTTTGGACACAAAAAATTACTTGTAGACATAATTACATTCAACCAAAAGTCTAGAGTGTCCTGTTGTTTTGTGTCTCGGAAGACAAGTGTCTATTAATAGGGTTAATGTTGTTGTAACCATGACTGCAAATGTTTTAAAGGTAGAATTAGTCAGAGATTTGTTGTTGTTTGTTTGTTTTCTGTTTTCCTAAACAGCCTGAAGGATAGTTTTCTGGTGTGATGTTTGAATTGTGTTGTCACAGTTTGAATGTTGAGGGACATCAACTGTGTATAACTGTCTTACTGCATTCCTTTTAACTTCTCTGCTGTGTTGTGAACAGAGCTTTTTATTTCTTCATGTGCAATATGTGGTTGTGTTATGAGAATTATGCTTTTGAATACAGTGTGACGCAAATTGAGAAACAAAGGAAATATAATGAGAGTGCATAACATAACAAATATTGTGTATTATACTGTGGATTATCACTTTTGTGTATAATGTACAGATTTTGGCATATGAAAAATTCAGAATTCTCCTTGTCTTCTGTTAATTTTTACCATTGTAAGATGTGTTGCTAAATTGAAGTACAGCATTCATGAAATTATGGTCTTGATCAGGAATGATTTGATTTTTTAATCAGTTCATGCTTTAATCATGAATATTGTTATTGGCAATTTGGTGTCAGTTATTGCTTTACTAGAACTGTTGGTTTGAGTAACTTTAAAAGAACACATTTGAAACTTTGGTAGAAGGGATTTCAAAAAGAATTTGAATTTGTCACTACAGATAAGTTTGTTTAAGATAGCCTTTTTGGTTGGTTTGGTGAAGTTATCATTTCAGCTTTTTGTTATGTTTTAAGTTTTAAATCTTGACTTAGAATTCTCCCCTCTAGAAGCTATTTAACTTCTGGTAAACTAATTAGGACAATTTGATGTTATATCAAGATGATATGCTCCAACTGATAACTTTGTCTTTTTTATGACCTGTCAATTAAATAATGTAGCAAACTTTTAAGGAGAAATTGTGTATTACATGTAACCACCTCAGTGAGGACAATGTTAAGTTTGAGACTGTAGATTTGAAATGTTTCTTTCATTAGGTTTTGAAGCAGGATGGTGTTGTAGAAAGGTTTAGACAGTGTTACATGTCAATTTGTATGGTTGATTATTATGATATTATCAGACAAACCTTGAGTTATATAATCAGTTTGATTATGTAACCTAAATAGCTAGCAGAACACTTCTATGAAGCAAAGAGCACAGCTTGACAAGTGTCAGCTCTCACCCGCTTATAAAGCACTAAAGTTGCATACAGCATATTTATTTTTGTGAGTTCTTTGTGGTCATTCAGCATTCCCTGAGTCCATATCCGAGTTCACCATTGACACCAGACTCTGAAGAAGGTTACATCTTGAGTATGAGAGAAGAAAGTAGATCAACAAGGGTGCGGAACAGACCCAAGCCACAGCCTGCAAAGAAAACAAGGGTTAATGCTCAGAGGTTTGTGACTCTCTTTGATGTTAAATTTCTTGTTTTTAATTTGATGTTCACCCTTTCACTTTCAAGATCTCAATTGTAATTCTCCTTACTGTCCACCATATCATTACTATGATGTTATGTTGGAGAATTTGGCATCAAATCAACTAATAACTCCCCCATTGTTATCTTTGTTAATTCTCATCACTTGTCAGCTTGATAATGTCTTGATATTGTGAGGAGAAATTCTGTCTTGATCACTCTTGGGAGTTTAAGGGTTGATAGAGGTTTAGTCTCTTTGCTTGTGAAACATTACATCAGGCAATAATGTAGTTAGAATATATATTGTTTGATGATGTGGTGCTTCTGAGAACGGAAATTAAATTGGATTGAGACATTTCTTTTTTTTAATTTCCAGATGTAGAATCAATTATTTAATTGGATTTACTGTGATATTTTTGTTCAAGATCACGGCCGTTAATTACTTCTATAATAAATGATTTAACTCACTGAACACCATGGTTTGACAACGCAAGGGAAGAGTGCAGAAAAAAGGGGATTCCCACTGAATTTTTGGAGTGTCAAATGTTGCACATGAAATCATACAACTTGATGCAGATGTGTGTTATTGTCATGCCTGAATGAATGTTTAATTGGTTTAAAGATATTTTTAGTTAATTGATGAAATTAAACCTTGATTGATGGTTCTGTTGGGGATTGATTACTTAGAGTTTGACCAAATTGGTTTATGTTGCTCATTGGACAAGTGGGTCCTCCTCATTATTGTGTTAATGCGATAAATTTATCACTTGACCTTTGTGTTTTGTTATAAGTTATTGAAGTTTTTTTTTTCTTCTGCAAACTGTTCTATTTTCAGTAAGTTGAAATCTCCCATCAGAGCTTCACCGATTGGTTCCTGCACTGAGAGTAATCTAAGTGTGGAACATGAGAACATGATGGTGAGATATCTTGTATTATGCAATATACTTAGTTTGATTATGTAAACTCCAAGGATGTTTCACCTGCTTATTCCTAAGATCTGAAATGTGCTTTAATTCTCTTTCTCAGGTGCATTGCATTTTATTGTAAATTAGTTTAGGAACGTCATGTACTATTTGTCTGCAAATCTCTCATTGAAATTTTTTGTCTATTTGGATCACCTGTTTGCAGAATAATGCATTGATATTGTAGGGAGTAGTGGATTGTTAACTGTGCAAGCTGAAGGGTTTGATGAACAGTATGTTCATTAGAGATTTCCATAAAAAAATTTTCCAGCCTAATTTTGTTGACCTTTGTCATTTATTGTCTAGATGTGGATTATTCTTCCTTTTCTAACCACTTCCTCCTGTAACTAAATTTTGCAATGAAGAACCTGAATGAATTTACACAAGCTGAGGTGTTATTTTTTCTGATCATTACAGGAGATGTCATCGTACTCTGTGCCTCTGGATGGGCAGCCATTGTATGATAATTTGACACCTGATGGCTTTGGAGTTATAAAACAACCAACAGTGGACCGAGATGAAGAACTGTAAGGATTGATTTTCCTTCCTTTTTCATTCTTCTTCTTCTTAGTAGCTCTTACTTTGAGCGAGTGATGAAGCAGAAAAAACAAAACAAACAAAAAAACAAACAAAAAAAATCTCTCTTTCATTGATCATTTGTTTATTTCTGTTGGAAAATTAGTAGTAAAATAATCAGTATTTTATATTCCTTCTCCTCGATTTTTACTTATACATGTGCACACAGTTTATGTTTCATTGCAAGACCTTACTTGTTTGGAGAGAAGTAACAAAAAACCCATATATGGAACATGGCGATCAGTACATAAGAAGTTTTTATGTTCATTGCAGAAACAGCTGCATGTACATTCAATAAAAGGTGTTCTGTTACTTGCCAGGATATTTTCCAACTCTAATTCAAAGTGCTTGGAGAATTTTAGTTGGTGTGTAACTGTCACTATTTACACAGCTGACATTTTAAACAGCAAAAGCTGAGGTGTTTCAATTTTTTTCAAGGGTGTTCACATGCGTGGGTGAAGGGAGCCTGATGATGTTTGTTTGTGCAGCTTAATGCTAAAACTTTTCTGTTTTGGAAGACTTGAACAAGTTATACAAACTTGTTTTGTGTTGAGGTGCGAGTTTTCCAAAGAAGCCTCTTTTCTCAAGCTGTGTAAATTTTTCTAAAGCAACAATTTGTACCATGAGCAACAGAAAGTAAAGCTTGAAGAACTTAGTCAGTGATGTTATGACCAAGTGTATTTTATAAGTAATTCAAGTTTGAGTCATTTTATTTTTTTAAACTATTCTCTTTTATCCAGAGAAATCATCACCACCATCATGAAATAATAAGAGATTTAATTATAAAAAGAGAAAGATTAAGATCAACCTCCACTGTAGAAAGATTGGAAAAAGGCTTAGCACACTTTACTCCCTTCCAGCTGCTAGATTTGTTTCTGTACCAAACTCTGTCAAACATTTTCATTCGAACAGGGCTAAAAGCAAAACATGCTCATTCTGCAATTGTGGTGTGGAGAAACGTATGTTCCATGGCAAACTCCAGAGGTATGCACCCACTCCAGGATTCAACCCAGTCAAAAAGCTCCAAAACAGACACAGACAGAACAGTGGATGTGATCCTTTCAGAGACCGGTTTTATGTAGATCCTTGTGACACGGGACAATTTGCTGAAGATCACCCGGAACCTCCACCTGTAGTAACTCGCCGCGGGCCTGGAAGACCACCTGGACGTGGAAGGCGGAAGGGAATTGTAGTTGTAGGTTTGCCATTAAGAACTGGTAACAATGACACTACAATTGACAAGACCACATATGGGACAGTAAAGGAGAAGGAGCTAAGCGATGTTTTTGAAGAAGATGGTTACACCTGGGCCCATCACTGCTGTGCAGCTTGGTCTGAAGGAGTCAGCCAGACAGATTCCTATGATTTAATCAATGTTGACAAAGCAGTAGTCAAAGCTATGTCAGAGGTATGTCATCAACATTTTTTCTAGTTCTCTCTAAAAAAAAAAGTCTTCTAAAAACACCCATAGCTGTTCATTAACCCTTTAACTTCCAAGATCTGATTGTTAAGTCTCCCCTCTAGCTGCTACACATTTCCTTGTAAATTAGTTGTGAGAACTTGGTGCTAGATCAAGATAGCAGCTTCTGCCTGATAAGTTTGAATATTCTCATTACCTGTTTGCTGAATAATGTATGGATATTGTAGGGAGAAGTTTTATGTTAATCACTTGTGGGAGTTAAAGGGTTAAGACAAAGTTCAACATAGGCAAAGTTTCTGACAATCAGTGAGGCATTTTTTTCTTTTTGTTTCTCTTCTTTGTCAACATGGTTTTGATTTTTACAAATCTTTAATTTTTGCCAGAGATTAATTGGGTATTTCTAAGGACATTTTTTTCCCCTTAGAACTTTGTTTTGGAGTCTGTTCAGTGATTATTTTTAATTTGATTTTTGTGATTTTACTTTTTCAGCGATGTAATCATTGCAATCGGTTTGGTGCAAGTGTCGTTTGTCAAATCCCACGCTGTGGGAAGACCTATCACTATCCCTGTGCAGCAAGTAGTGGTTCTTTTCAGGTTTGTCTAACTAAAGTACTCAACCACTTAGCAACAACTGCTGACACTTTTCTCAGAAATTCATAATTCTCTTTTAGCCATCACCACTGAGTGAGGGAATGTTATTTTATCAGTACTATGAGAGTTAAAAGCCCCTGATTTTTTTTGGGGAAGGTGACAAACTAAAGGCAACTCTCTGGCATCATGGCTTCCAACAAAATTTTTTTCATCCAAGAATTACAATCGCCATATGATCAAAGCACAAGTAATGCTGTTCTTTTTATCATCATACTTTCCCTGTTTTTGATTGGAACAAACAGACATAGCTGTAGAAGGAGAATTCCCATGTTGATCAGGTTCAAGTCTTTACTGATATCCATTTTGGGATGTTTTCACTTGTATGTAAATAGAAACCTGCTGTGACTCTCCTTTATGTTCTTGTCTTTCTCATAAGAAAAATTTTTTTTTCTGAAACAGGACATTAAATCTATGACCATGTTATGCCCAGATCATTTGGGAGATGCAGGACATCTTGGTAAGTGAATTTTAACCTTACAGGTAGATAATTCCATGAATAAAAGGAGAAATAAGGGAGCAAAAAATTGCGTGGGTGTGGATGTTCTTGTGTACATTATGCCAATGTAAGTATGTGTAGAACCCCTGTATATTTAATGTGACTGCAATGCTATTTGCCCATTTACCCATTCACCCATTCACCCATGGAAAAATAACTAAGCAAAAGCCAAAAGAGTTTATCAAACAATGTCTGGAATCATATTTGTGGCCAACAAAGTTGATATCAATTGCAGGTCAATGGAGTTATTTAATGATTGTTTTCCACAGTATTCTGAGTAAAACAAGGATCAGGCCTATTTAACATAGGTTGTAAAAGACAATCTAGACAAATTTACTCAAGAAAGTCTGGAGAAATTTGATTAGGATTAAATTGCAAAAGGATTCTCACAAGTTATCTGCAGTCGAAGAAATTGCAGAAAGAGAAGCCTGAGAAAACTTGGGTGTCAATGGGGTTGAGATCGGTGTCTCTTGGGTACTGGTTGGGTGTTACCAGTGACTGAACCATAGAGCAACCCTTTGGGAGCAAGGCAAATTTTAATGGATTCTTTTTCCCTGTAAAGAATTGTAATAAATCAGCTTCATTTTGTAGTCATGATGAAACTCTGTAACAGTTGTCTTCATTTTTATTTGATTTGTTTTGTTTTGCAGCTGGGGGCGAAGCTGAATGTGTCCTCTGTGGGGATGCCAAGGATTTTTCAGAACAGATATTCTGCACAAGTTGTGGTCGCCATTATCATGGCCGGTGCCTCGATCCTTCTGTCGATTTAACTCCACTAATAAGAATGGGCTGGCAGTGTCCAGATTGTAAAGTCTGTCAGGGTTGCAGGTGGGCTGATTTTCTTTACTTGTTCAATGGTGAAGTTTGTGTCTTGTAACATGTTATGTGCCAAATTTTTACAACAAATTCACTGTCTGCTATTCATGTTTCAACTTTGACTTAAGTTCTGAGAATTTTTTTGTGAAATTGGCAGCATTCCATCGTTGATAATTTTCTAAATCTTGTCACTTGCCTCTTTGAATGTGTATTCTTTTCTTAAGGATCAAACCTCTTTCCAAATTGGAATTCAGGAGTTTGTTCCTCACCATGAGTCTCTATGGCAATTCTTTCATGTTACTGGGTGCACATGGGTGTGTTACTGGGTGCACATTTTGCAACCGCCGCCTGGTTAGCTCAGTTGGTAGAGCGCCAGTCTGCTGTGCGGGAGGTCGAGGGTTCGAGCCCCAGACCGGACCAACACTCAGGGTCTTAGGTCTCAGGTTAGACATTCAAGTCTTCTCGGATAAGGACTATAAACCGTAGGCCCCGTCTCCTGCATCTTCAGTGTTACATGGTCAGCAGGGGACGTTAAAGAACCCACACACTTGTCAAAAAGAGTAGGGGGCGTAGTTCCCGGTGTGGTGGTCTATCTGTTGTTTCATTGTACTTTTTCATGCATGGGCTGGGTGGGTGAGTGAGATCAAATATGGACTGATAGCGGCAGCCAGAGGCACCTTTACAAGCTGACGTTCGATCTCACTCAATTAGAATTGTAAACCGCCTTGAGACAGTATGTGATATGTGCGGTTTATAAATACACATTCATTCATTCAATACATTTTGAATTGGAGATTGGAGTAAATTTTTCATGAGATGTGGATAATATTCTTGTCTCCTTTCCTACTCCTGCTACCTTCTCTTGTTAAAAAGAAGTCTTGATTTTAACCTCATGTACCTTAATAAATTCTTCTAATGACCTTAATGATTGATTTGGTTGTGATACTGTGAGGAGAAATAACATGTTAGTCAATCTTAGGGGTCAGGGTGACTTTGTTAATTTCATTTGGCCTCTGTTCTTTGGCTTGCTGTTATCTCTTCATTATTGTAACACCATCAAAGAAACCATCAGTTTCTCTATCCCCCGTTGTATCTGAGGTCTCGTGCTATGATTTTTTTATGCTGCTTATTTGTATATGATATTTGCAGGCAACCTGGTGATGACAACAGAATGTTGGTTTGTGACTTGTGTGACACTGGATATCATACATATTGTCTGGACCCTCCCATGAGCACCATACCCAAAACTGGTTGGAAGTGTGTGGTGAGCAACTGAGATTTTCTTCCTTGTAACAGGTTTCCTTGTAAATTGTTATTGCCTAGTGAGAATTGTTTGTGGTACAAATTAGCAAAGAAAACTTTTCAGAAGTGACATTTGCAGTGGTTGAAGTTTGCTTTAACCCTTAAAACTGTGAGTAAGTACTAAACAGGGATGCTGTGACAATGGTGACAGAGGAGGGTAGCAATCTCAGTTCCAAAGAGGTAACCATGGCAATTGAAACATAGCCCATCTCAAGGCACCTTCAACACAACACTGACAAATGTGTCAGAGGAAGGAATGTCTATACTCAAAAATATGGTATGAAGGGAAACCAATAAAGCAACCTAGCAAAGTAAATTGAGTTAAGGCACATGGCAGTGCAATGTGTTAGGGTTTGGACAGGGAGGATTTTCACAGGAAGTCGTGTGTAACCGATTTAAATGCAGCTTTTTCTCAGAAATTTGCCTCTCAATTCCTCTTTCTTCTCTCTGATAGGCCTGTCGTCGATGTGAAGACTGTGGTTCAAATACTCCTGGAGGTGGGCCTACTTCTCGCTGGCACCATAATTTTTCAGTGTGTGATAGTTGCTATCAACAACGTAACAAAGGTCTGTTTTGTCCTCTGTGTGGGAGAGCGTACAGACAGTTCACTGATGTTGCCATGGTGCAGTGTCTCTCTTGTGAGAAGTGGATCCATGCAAGCTGTGATAACATTGACAAGGAAGAATATCAAAAGTATAACGCCAAGGAGTTTCCATACTTCTGTCCAAACTGCAAGCCAAAGAAGGGATCCTTACAGCTGTTGGTGAGTGGTATTCTTAGATCTGTTTTTACTTCATGAAAATTGTTTTCAAAAAGGAGAAATGGATGACCTCAACAAAAACTACATAGATGACTGTCTTCTTTGCCTTTCTTAAATTTTATATCTGTCATAAATAATTCATTCCCTGGATGGCTCTTCTTTCTTCTCTCTCTCTCTCTCTTTTTTTTGTTTGTTTGTTTTTTTGTAAAGCTGAGATTATAAGGCACATTACACTAGGTTGTAAAATAGGGCAGTAGACAAGAGTAATCCAGATCAATTTTAAATATCATACTTTGTTAATAATTTCATCTATTCAAGTCCTGCTGTCTTGAAGACATGAGAACCTATGGGTCGGGTTGTCGATCTCAACAATAGATTCTGTCAATGTATCAGAGTGATTAATTGCTGGCCTTGTAACATGAACTAAACAGCTCTGTTTGTTTTGTCTCAGGACAAGAATCATGGACTAGACCTAGCATTTACTGAGCAGCACAACCATATGGACATAGCTAATCTTGACTGTCCACCAGAGGAAGACAAGCGTACACTAACTATAGCAGCAGGCCGCATGAGCCCTTGTAACATAGATGATGACCTCCTTTTGGGTCCTCATCTGGATGATATTAGTGCACTGCGTCATTTTGACCCTGTTCTTGATGACACAGAGACCATTCCTATGCCAAACCTTGACAACATTGAGCCTGAGAAGTTGCAGCTTAGTGAAAAGTTACCACTGGATGAGGAAATGGAAGTTGTTGTGAAGCCAGATCATGAGTTGGATTTATTGACACACGCAGCCGCTCTTACAGAGCCGTGTTCCTTGCCGTCACTTTCAGTAACAAACCAGTTAATGGACAGACAGCTCACTGTTCCCAAGGCTCCTATGCCCAACTACTATTCACCAAGAAACTATCACCCTCCCAAGCTATCAGGAAAGAGGAAGTTGTCAAGCAAAATCAGGGTTCGTTTATTTGCTTCTTCATGAAGATTTAGTTAAGTGAAAGAAACTACTGTACATTGCAATTTGAAAAACTTAGTGAAACACAGCCAACACCTTTTAACTTTTTCATTCATACCTTTTTTTTTTTATCTGTACTATTCTTATCCACACTTGCTTTTATTTATTTATTTTTTTTTGTTAACATCTTAAAATGTTTTGATCCCATGTGCATGTTTTTGGTTTCCCCTAAGGGGACAGTCAGTAGTACAGCTTGGAGATTCAAGGTGAAATTCTGGGTGGTAGTTTTTTGAAGCAAGTAATTGTTTTTCTTGTTTAGGCTAAGTCAGGTGGAACTCCTGCAAGGAAGAAATCGAAACATGGTAAACCAGGTCCAGGTCGTCCGCCCAATAAGCTTAAGCACAAAGCAGCGCCACAAACATCCCCTGGCAAAGAGAATGTTGTAAGTTGTAAATCTGTGATTCAGGTGGATTGTGTTACAGTGCAGGTGGTATGTGTAGAGCACAGGGTTGTAGATCATGAACTTTACTTCCAGAGTCATAGTTAGTACTATCTTGCTACTTCAAGTTTTCAGTATTTGTTTCTATCAGTCTCCTCATACAAGCGATTATCACTGGCGTCTTCTGAAATTGGTTACTGTTTCTATTTAGACCAAAAAAAAAATCCTCAAAAAACAATCATTTTGTGGGAACTTACAATATCAATACATTATCAAGCAGGCAGGTGATGAGAATAGAGAAGAATATCAATCATGGGATTATTAGTTGATCCAATACCAAATTCTCTGAACTAACATCATTAGAATTGTATGGCAGATAGTAAGGAGAATTACTAATTAGATATTGGGAGTGAAAGGGTTAACAAGAGACAATTCATGTTCTGTAGTTAAGCCTGATCAAATTTGATTCCTCTAATATTGTTTCGTTAGCCTTTATTGCATGTAACTGATTTACTCTTTTTCCCCAGCCAAAGGCAGCAAATTCATTAGATCAGACCAGCAAGGAAGAAGAATCCGAGAGCTTGCACACTACTCTTGTGCTGTTCTCAGCCGATGATGAATTCACTACAAAACAGGACATGTGCTTGTGCTGTGGAAGTTTTGGCAAGGGTCCAGAAGGACAACTGATAATGTGCTCACAGTGTGGTCAGTCTTACCACCCCTACTGTGTTGGTGTAAAGGTATGGGACTGTGGAGATCAGTTTTCAAGTTCTCCATACTATTCTAAGGAGAATTTGTGAAACATTTGAGATCTTGATGAGTTCATTCTAAGATATTGACGAGCATTTGATCTTGCATAGGTCAACAAAGTGATCTTGACAAAAGGCTGGCGCTGCTTAGATTGTACCCTCTGTGAGGGGTGTGGCAAAGGAAGTGACGAGGCTCGTCTTCTACTCTGTGACAGCTGTGATATCTCATATCACACTTATTGCCTTGACCCACCATTAGGTCATGTTCCTCAGGGTGGATGGAAGTGTAAATGGTGAGTATGAACAAAGATCATAAGGCAGGAAATATTTTATATCAATTCCATGTGCAGAAGTGTGTATTGCTATTTGATTGATGTGTGTTGGTTTTTTCATCATGCGTGTTCTACATGGTAGATTTTCAGCAACTTGAAACATACTTGTCAGTTTCAGCTGCAACAATATATGCAGAAAGTTGTGACAAATTAATGGCAAATCTGGAAGAAATTTTGTGGTTTTGTGGTCTGTTGACCTTTTCACTCTCACAAGTTGCCAACTGGTATTCATTTGTTCTTACCAGTTTCATATGCTTCAAAGTAGACAAGTAGATAGAATTAAGAGCATTTTGAACCAGGAATAATACTTTGATGGATGTGTAACAAAAAATTCTCAACACAAGCTGACAAAGTAAGATACGTTAATTGGTCAGGAGAATCTTGACTTTGAAAGAGCTTACAGAACTTTTTTTTCTGTCAGGTGTGTGACCTGTTTCGATTGTGCAGCTACTACACCTGGAGTTGGTTGCCAGTGGATGTCAAATTACACTCAGTGTGGGCCTTGTGCTAGTAAAACAATCTGTCCTGTCTGCAAAATCAAGTACAACACAAATGACCTTATGATACAGTGTGCACATTGTGACAGGTACATGAAGATAATTATCATTGTTGATACACGACACTGAGGAATTAAATGGTCTTGCTATGATATTACAAGTAGGAAGCACCTTTGGTGATCCTGTTGTGTTACCCCCTTTTTAGTGTGTTTTATTTGGGGAAGAGGTGGCACTTTTTATTGATTTTCTGGTGTGATGTCAGTTTGTAAATCACAAGCCAAAAGGTAATTGCTAGGCAAAGCTTAGAAAAATAACTGCATAAGGAAAGCAATTATTTTGTCTGAACTAATCAGTATTTGCTGTTCGATTTAAGTTTTCACTTGAATGCCCATGAGAAAGTTGCATTTGTGGCAGAGTTACCAGAGTTGAACATTGTTTCCTTCTTTTCCACCAGGTGGCTTCATGGTTCATGTGATGGTCTTGTCAGTGAAGAAGAACTGGATAGAGCGGCAGAATATGGATATCATTGTTTATATTGTCGCCCCAAAACCAAGCGTGCACTTGTCGGTGTCAGTGGTATGTCTTGTAGAACCTCATCTGCCTCCCAACCTTTCCTCTCCTTCTTATCTTCTGCTGGATCTAACACTCTGCAGGGTTAGTAACCTCATTTCTGTGCACCCCTCCACAATTCCTTCCACAATGCACTAAGAGGAGAGAATCATCACAAAGGCTTTGCAAAAGGAGTTGAAAACATTCAAAGTTTCTCTTGAACCCTTTAAGTTTTTCCTTGACACTTTGTTGGAGCATCAGACAACTTTGAACACTTAAGCATCTCAAGAACAGCCAATATTTTGATGTGGTGTCATTTATCATTTCTATCGGGAATGCATGAAACAGTCCTGATTTTGTTCTCACACATTTACTACAAAAGCAAACCTGTACCAACAGACTCTTGTACTTAGCGCACTAGGATGCCAGAATTAAGCTCTTTGGTGACCTAAATAAGGCACATTTAACTTCAATCTGAAGTTGGTTTTTCTCTCTGTGTTTCTTGCAAACTGCACAAGTCTTGTTTTGGAGGGTGTTAACGGAAACCTGTTCCTTATCCATTCTGTCCTATCACTTGCACCATCTGGTTCTCTAGTGCACTGTGTCTTGTTTCCTTTTCTTTACCAATTGACTTCTCTTTAATTTCCTTTAATTGATATACATTTTTTGGCATGTTTGTTAAGGGGGCTATGTGTTGATGAGTTGTTGCCTTATATTCAAAATCAAGATTTAAATTCTTATACATGTGTATTCCCCTGTGGTAAATTTTATGGATATCTTGTACTGAGGACTTTTGCATGTTTTGTTTGGAAAAAGAACTGTTTGGAGTTTGAAGGATTAAAAACCCCAAGGACTGACAGAATGGATGTAACAGCTCTTTTCAGTGACAAATGTTCAAGTCACTGCAACATCAATCCTCTTCATGCAGCCTTGCTTTTCAAAGCTGTCAATATTCTTTCAGTAATGAAACCAAACAGCGTACATTCTCTGTACCATTTCACTTGGGATCAACAAAAGGGAGGGTTTTTATCAGAAAAGTAACTTTCACTCCATTAGTGTAGATGTTGTTCTAGAACTGGGGTGTATGTCTCTCACCAGGTCCCCCATCACCAAGGGCTACAGCTCTACACCATTATCGACCTCAGTCCCTAACTGATGATCTACAACCTCAACTAGATGGGAAGCCTTTACATCCTTGTCAGAGGGTCAACAACAATTTGGTAGAACTGAAACTATCAAACCACTTCAACAAAGTGCAGATGACAGCACCCTTTTCTGGGAACAATGTGGAACTGACAGAGTCTGGTGTGCGGCATATGAACAGGCTGAAGTTACCGCCAAGCAGTAGGAGGCGAGTGGTCAAGAGCAAGCTGAAACCCAAAAAGTTTGGTATGCCCACTAGTCCAGTCAAACGAAACAGCTTTGCAGGCCACTGGCAGGACAAAGATGCCATTTTCAATAGGGTTGTTGTGGAAGATGGTAACATGGATATGGTGGATGATATGGAGAGCCTTAGACACAAGTCGCCTCTTGCTTCATCTAGAGTCAGTAGACCCAGGCAATCTAATGTGGGGCGTCCAGGAGTTGGTGGATTTGTGCTGCGTGGTCGTGGCTCAGGAGGGAGGAGATTTGCTGGTCGTGGTGCTCGAGCAAATATGAAGAAGAAAGGGCCTACATTTACTCCAACTGCACGAGGGCCTTCCAACTTGAATCATTTGGGAAATCAGTTGTCGCAGGTAATTATTGCACTTTTTGAGACAAGTTGCACTTGTGACTCATGGAATTCCTTTCTTTATCTTTTTCATACTAATTGATATATTATGGGTAGTTGTTTTTTTGGTCAAATCTTACTGGCCCATGTGATTTTTTATTTTCTCTTCAGTTGTGTTCGTTATCATAATCCAACATTAACAAAAGTAAAATTAAAGTGGTTTGAAGAATTTACTGTGTGAAAAGTTTGGCCATAACAGATATCGAAAAGTGCGATTGATATAAATTTACGTTATAAAGTGGATAGAAGATAATTGACTTTGAATGTTTGAGACTTACAAGTACTTTTTGGAGAGTGTATAATAACTTATCAGAGCCGTAGACCGAAATGATGTCACTTGGAAACTGACCATCGTTTTTTTTTGTGCTGGCATGTGCAGCAGACTTATCCGAGTGGAATGAATAGTCCATCCTTTGTTAGCAAACCTTCTCCATTCGCTGAGGTGGAGCCTTCGCTAAATCAAGGAAGCAACGCCAGTTGGGCTGATGCCTGTGATGAGAATGCTCTACAGGAGTCGTATCCTAAGTGGATACAGGTAGAGTCCTTTTCTGTATTGGTTTTACCAGTTTTGAGGTATTTAAAAATTATTCACCAAAGGCGAAGTGATTATCGTTGAATAATTATTCAACAATCTTCACAAAGCCCAAGGTGAGGTGTTTTTTTTTTTGTATAATTGCTAAGGTGCTTTCGAATTCTGCTATAAATAGTTTTGTAAATTGAAAATTCTGTTACAATTGTTTAGATTACTTGTATTGAGACAGCAGCAAGTTTCTAGTAGAATTTAACCCTTTAACTCCCAGATCAAATTTGTACTTCTCTTTACTTACTTACCTTACTTACAATTTTTATGATGTTAGTTCAGAGAATTTTGTATCCAATCAACTAACTATCCCTAAATTGATTTTTTCTTTATTCTCATCACTTATCTGGTTGATATTGTATTGATATTGTAAGGAGAAATTCTGTCTTGGTCATTCATGGGAGTTAAAGGGTTAACAGATTTATTTAATTCCATCAACAACAACTTAGCTTTACTTTCACATATGTTACGCCAATTTTTTAGCATCTTTTATGCTCTTCAGAATTCTATTTTCTTCTATCACGTTTATCACTTCCTGCGTAACATTAACAAAACGCGAGGCCGCCAGTTTGAAATTTAGTGACCCTGCTATAATCACCCCGCACAAGGTGGTTATAGCGAGATATGACGCGCATATCTATAATCACCGAAGCAATTCTACTCAACTTGTTTATTGTAGATTGCAATACTGGAAATTACTTGATGTGTTGTGGTTGATGTTTCAACGCCTTTTTCAATTTTTTTTTTTATCTCAGGAGGCGTTCTTTGGCAAAGACCTTTTAGACACACTTGGTAGAGAGAAACGATCAAAGCATGGTGGTAAGACGCCGTCAACCCCTTCTGAGGATGAAGATAGAGCAAACCAAGACCCTTTCGCTGTGAGACAAGGTTCAATCCCCCCCGACAGGCAGCAGACCACGTTTGATGGTCCAGGACAAGTTCCATTTCAGATGGTGCCTGGGGAAGAGAGACAGCATCCTGGTCATTCAACACAGCCGCTTCACCAAACAGGTTTTCCAAGAGGATCATTGAGTGCTCATGACAAGTAAGAATCTTTAATTTTTAACTTGTAAGTTTGAGCAACTTCTTCCACCGGTGAATACAATGTGTTGGCCAAATTTCCAATAAACAAAAAGTTAAAAGTTAAAAGGTTCGGAAACTGTTCAGAGCGCGTTTTAAAGCAATTCAATTCTAGGATATCTTTTTTTCATCAAGTTGAATCTCACGTAGTGAAAATAATGATTAATAATAATAATAATGACGATGATGAATAATTTTCCTTCCTTTACCATTAATGACTTGAAATAAACTTTAACTATTCTCGTGGTAAATGAATGTGATGTATATTTTCTTAGCTGGCAGCAATCTGCCAATGCAGACCCATTTCCATCGCATGCCATCCACCTGACAGAAGACGTCCCCAATCCAGACGCTCTGTACAGCTCACTGGATATGCTGACAGATGACTTACCAGGAACTCAGAATGATTCGCATTCCACAAACAGAGGTTAGCTTAGTATGCTACAGACACTGTCCACTTTTTATTAAAGTTTAAGTGTTCACTGTTTGGCTGGTTAAATGTTTTACCTTCTTGTGCAGCAAGATTCTTCTTTTAAGCCGCGGACCATAAACTCGTATCATTTGTCATGAAGAAAGATTGTATTGTTTTCACCAATGGTGAAGATTTGGCTCTCACGGCAAACTTTGCTGTGTTCTGAATCTTACTTTTAATTTTATTCGTTTTTGTTTTGTTTTTATAGCACTTCAACAACCAGCTTCTCAACATCCTTCCTCGGCACCCACCCCCCAGTCACATATTCCTACGGCAGCATCCTCTTGGAATCAAGCTCAGACTCGCCCTCAGGGAAACGACCTTGATATTCTTTGCAACACGGGAGATATCCTACCTCACGTTGATGGGCAGGAAGTGGAAGACATCTTCATGGATATTGAAAGAGAAATGAACATTGTACCGCTGAGCTTTCTGGATTCTGAAATGGACAACAACGTGGCCAACGTGCAGGAGCAGTTTCCACCACAGAGTGCTAACTCTGTGTCAGGTCATGGTGTCGGCTTTCAAGCGAGCCAACATCCAATTAGTGTTTACAACCAAGGCACTGCCAATCAGGGTTACAATCCTGGCACAACACACTTTCAGAGTGGAGGATCGGCTTATCAACGGGGCCCTCAGAATCACATCGATGGCTTCGCTAATTCCGTTGTACAGGGTCAACTGGGTTTCAACCACAACAGTGCATTCCCTAGAGGGAATGAATTTGATCTGGATGATTTACCAAGGGAAAGACGCAGACCTCCCAGCCCACGGGTAGACCCGATGAAACAACAGCAGAAATGGGAAGATGACGAAAAGCTAGGGGCAACTGCAACAATATCGCCGGTATTATATGCCAACTTGGAACACGTAAACCTGAAGCAGGAGTATCCAGGTAAGTGACGCTTAGCGAAAAAGGCCAAAAGAGTGAACTAAATGCACGTTTCTTTGGGTGTGGTTTGAAGTGTGGATAGAAATACAAATTTTGACGTGGATCCGTTTTTGGCTTGGTCTTACTGTGTTGTCTAAAATGGTTATATTCGAAGATATTTGATTCATGCAGGATTCTCATTTCATTCATTCATTCGCTTCTAACCTAATTTCACATGTTATTTAGATTTTCACATAGTTGAAACCCTATTTGACACAAAACATGATTTACCGAGCAAAATTCTAAAACAGATGATGCTACAGACAATCAATTCAATTAGTTGTTGTCTTTAATCAAATAGTGTGTGGCGCGTCATTTTATCGTAATTGGAGGCGTCATCAACTCGGCGGTTGTGATATTGTAGGATACTCTCCCAAGTAAGGCCGTTAATTTGTTTCTTAAGTGGTGGTTATTACATGAGTCCTTTCTTTTCAATTTGTTGTAGACTGGCCCAACAGGTACAGAGCAATAGCAAGACTTTGGCGAAAACTTTCAGTCGAGCAAAGGGAACCTTACAGGGTAAGTTAAGTTTCTTTATCATGAAACGCTAGGACGATGTTTTGGTGGACATCTCTTCTGGTTGTTGGCAATATTGTTGTTTGGTCTAACTTTGGTTTACAGTCAAACCAGTATTAAGCGGCACTATACAAAGTGGTAACCCTGTGTCAACTCTTTAGCCCCTAAGAGTGACCAGCATCTAAATTCTCCTTACATTATCACACCTGAATCACTCATCAAGGTAACAAGAATAAAAGAAATGATCACCGACTTAAGAAGCTCTTGATTGTTTAACAAATTCTCCCTGTCAGCAGCTAAGGAAATGTATAGAGAACAGTGTGGAGAATATGCACACTGATGTTAGGGTGGAAAGGGCTAAGCGGTCATCTCTATAACGCGTTCTGTTTTGTTGTTGTTGTTGTTGTTGTTGTCGTTGTCTTTCACCTGTATTGATATTAAGAATTATCTCTCAAGTTAAATTTAGTCCATGTTCATCTCCTGCAGTCACCGTTTGTTCTTTGAGTTGAAATGTCGTCAACTTATTGCAAATTATCTTTCTTAGAATTGCACTGTTTGGACAAATATTATACACTAGCATCACACTAACCTGTATTTAGCGTTATTCCCCTTGAGTTAACACAGGTTTGACTGTAGTAACTTTGATCAGAGCGTCCTTATTTTGTCGAACAAGACGTACTACACACTAAAGACGCAGGCCTTGTCGTTTATTTAGAGTCTCATGTAAAGTAATCTATTTTGCAGTTAAAGGCGAGGGATAACCGTGTCCGACTGAAAGATCAGGGGAAAAAGGTAGGTAAACATTTCTAAGTGTAATGGTATCAGGGCGTTATATTGAGCACCCCAGTACGGGTTTAAACTTTTCTAAAAGAAGATTGAGAAAATACCCTCAAGATACGCCATTTTGAATACATACGCAGAAATAAGAACTGGACGTAGAAGTTGGAGTGAATGTGATGAAAATGCTGAGAAGAATAGTGTTGAAAAAAAAAAAGGTGCTAAGTTGTCGTGCTGAGCACCTCTGTCTGCAGTGTGATTATAAACTAGATAATTAATTTTGTTTTATATTTCTTTCCTTTTTTACGCAGCTGATTGCAAAAAAGGAGGAGAAAGCAAAGTTAGAGTCTCAGAAGGCCTCGCAATTAAAGCAGCAACAGCAACAACAACAACAGCAGCAGGAGCTGCAGTTACAGGAACAACAACAGCAAATGCAGCACCAGCAGTTAGAACAGCAACAACTGCATCAGCAGCAACTTGAACAACAACAGCAACAAATGTTGCAGCACCAACAGCAACAACAACAGGCTCTACAGCTGCCCTCTCAATCTTTACAAGGTCAATCTCTCTTACATCAGCATGACCAGCGTTCAACGTCTACGACTCTTTGTCCAGTCACAGATAGTCCAATGCTTCCAGTAAATAGTGTTATGCCAGTTCCCCTAACACCAAGCACACCTGCAAGGTCGATTACACCTGTGACTCCTGGCACTCCTGGCCCCTTGACCCCGACCACACCCACCACACCCACGTTCAGCCAAGTGATGGGTCACCCGCCAATTGGACCTGTGATTCCAGCAACTATGGCAGGTCATCAGTCTTCAGGCAAAACTACGAGTAACAAAGGGAAAAAAAGTAAAGAGGAAAAAGAGAGAGAGAAAGAATTAAGAAAGCAGAGACTACGCATTCAACAGGAGCAAGAGCGGCAGTGGAAAATCCTCCAGCAGAGAAGAGCTTTGGAGCAACAGCGTCAACAACAGCAACAGCAGCAGGAAAATGTCTTGCTTCGACAGGAACTCAAAAAACAACAGCAAGCAAAAGGAACTAAAGTACCCGATGAACAGAAGAAAAAGCGTTTATCTAAAGGTGGAAGACGGGCTTCTGCGCAGGCTTCTAAGGCCTCTGACAAATCTGGAAGTGGCTCACACGACTCGCCAAATTTTCAAAATAGCGTGGCACCCCCTGATGGAGCTGAAAGTAGACTAGAAGAACAAGTATTACCTGCTGGCCCTTCGTTTTCGTCAGCACCCAGAGCTAATGCAAACGCCCTGGCATCTACTAGTCAATATCAACATGAACCGTCTCTTGACTTTTTGACTCCTTACGATACACAAGGCAATGGATTGTTAGAAGACAACCAGAGTGATGGAAGTGTCATGAATCCTAGTCATCATCCCCCGAACTCAAATGCTGGTGACATCCATTCTGCTCAGGCAGGTGCTAACCACCAGTTCCAGAGACCTTCGCTTTGGGAGAAGGAACATGGGAACGAGACAGTGCACCCTGCTGAGGAATCAATGTGGGAACAGTCACAGAGCTGCAGTCAACTTCAAGACCAGAAACAAAGTAATGGCTCACTGAGTTTAACTCCAGTTTCACAGGCACATGAAGGTTCTAAGCATAATATATGGAGTTGTGACAACTTGCAACCTGAGACAATACAAGATCAATCGGGGATAGAAAATGCACAAGGCAGAGTCTTGTTACTTGAACAAAACACAAGACCTTTACAAGAAGGGGTCCGGCAGGAACAGAATTCTCAGAATAACTTTGGTAACAATGAGCAAGTCATTTTTAACAGTGAGAGACAACAGTGGTCCCATGCTCATGTGCCTGCAATGCCTTCATCTCAAGCACCAATGCCAAGTCAACAATTGAGTTCTGATAGTGGAAAAATAGTGCACCAACCAGCTGTAACTGACTCCTTGCAGGCAGTTCCCTTTTCAGTGCCACAGCAAGTGGCATTGAAACCCACTGAGCAACATCAGCAGCAAGCTATGGAATTGCAACAACCTCCACAACAAATTCCTGTTATGCATTGGCAAGAGGAACTGTCACAAGTTCGAGCTCAGGTGGCTGCTGCTCATGACCTTCATCCTTCTCAATCTGTAGTTCCTTCCTCAGCTCCAGCACCTCCTCCGGTGGCACCACCTCCACCCCCATTGCCATCATCCCAGCAACCACCTACTATTCCACAACAGCCATACGAACTGGGTGCTGGATGGCTACATCAGGGCCAGTTACCTTCTCAAGTACAGACACAACCAATGGTCACATTCCCACAACCGCCTCAACCTCACCAGGTACATGGTCCTACAACGACACACGTGGCAATGCCTCAGACACCATTTCAACCTCCACCTCAGATCCCTATCCAAGTGCCACCCAATCATCCTACCAACCAACCCATTTCAAATCAACCTCAGGATAGTCAACTGCAACAGCCACAACAACAGCAGGACATGGTTCAGCGACAACAACGAGACCAACTCATAAGAGCCCAACAGCAGCAGTTTTTTCAGATGCTTCAGCAGCAACAGGCGTTTCAACATCAGCAGCATCAGCAGCAGCAACAACAGCAGCAGCAACAACAACAGCAGCAACAGAATGCAGCTATCCAACCGGGATTTGCAAGGGCACGGTTCAATACAGCTATCAACACCAAAGATATGCCTGAAATTGACACAGAAGAGGAACATCAAGAAAGGCTTCGTTTTCTCTATCGCCAGCGCCAAGCACAAAAACAGCAACAGATGCAGATGCAAGCTCAACTGATGCACCAAGCTTGGATTCAACAGCAACTTGCTGCTGGAGGTGGTCAAGGAGTTGTTCCACCAGGTGTACTTACAATGGATTCATCCAACCCTCAAATGTTGCAACAGTTTGCTCAACAGATACGTCCCCAAATGCCAGACATGACTCAACAGCAATTGCTCGCTGAATATCAAAGGAGAATGACGCAGCGGCAAGACATAGGCCAGCAAACTGTTCAATATGATAAGGTTTTGCAGGAGCTCCAACAGCAACAAGGGATCCCTGTTGGAAGTGCTCATGCTGTAGGCCCTTTCATTGAAGTTCCTCATCAGAGATTTGGCTTGAGACAGCCAACTTCTATGGTCCAACCAAGTTTGAAGCCCATTATGCCATACGGGGGACTTGATGGACAGTTCATTGGTCAACAGCAGCAACTTTACAAGATGCAGTTGCAGCAACAAATGTTGATGCAGCAGCAGAAAAAGGAAACTTCCCATAGGAGCTCCCCTCGAGCGAGTCCTGCTGCAGGAAAGGCTAATGCAGGGGAAAGTAGCGGTGAACTCAGTGGGAGTGTGGATGATGAGAAGCTCAATGGCACAACTGTGTTGTCAAGTCATACCAACTCTGAAACTGAAAAACTCCCTGATAAATCTGAGGGCTCTGGAACAGAAAATGAAAAGCAAGTGACCAAAGGAAAAGATATTAGTACAAGTGGAACAAACCAGGTTGCCGGTAGTACTGCTGAGACATCTCCTGAGTCTGTGGAAGGCGAGAAGCTAGAGAACACTAATTACGAGAAAGACCATTGTAGTAGAGACAGTAAGAGCGAACAGGAGAGTAGAGAGGTTAATGGTACAAGAGCCACAAACAGCTATGACGAGAAGACTAGCAGCCTAAACTCTAAAGATATTAGTGCACACATACCGGGAAGGTCTGACGATTATGACACCACAGCCATTCAGAGGGAAGAGCTACCTAGTGTTACCTGTGGGGAAAAGAAGGCCAGTGAAGACTACGATGTCGGAAAGGACCTTGCCTCAGCCAATGTAAATTTTGATAGCCCTTCAGATAAAATATGCTTCGATGCAGGAAACGAGAATAAGTGTGAAGGTGGAAATGAATCAGAGGGATGCTCTGGAGAACAAAAAGAAGCTTGCATTGAAACACAAGGGGAGCAGGTGGCAGTTGCTCAAACTCTTGACTCCAGCAAATTGGAGGGAGCTGCAAACATGAAAGAAGTGTCCCATCAAGAAGGGAAACCCCAATGTAAACCTGAACCCTTGCTTGAAACCAACCCAGCGCCTATTCAGCCACACAATGTAACCAGCCAAGTAAATTCGGTACCACCTCCTCATCCTCAGTTGCTGCTGCAGCAGCAGTATTTGGTATCACAGCAGGAGTTTGTGCAAATGCAACAGCAAAGACAAGTTCTTGTGCAGCGGTACCAACAGTTGCAACAGCAACAGCACCAGGCTGGAGGACAAGACCCTGTACTAGCAGGTCAGATAATGACTGTCCAATCGCAAGGACAAGCTCTCCAACAACGCATGTTACAATACTGGCAACAAATGCAACTTATACAACAGCAGCTGCAGCTGGGGGGAACAGTACATCAACAGCTTGCAATTCAACAACAGCCACAGCAGGTTCAGCAGCAACCACTCATAGCTCCCCAATGGCCTGCAGGAGTCCCACAAGGACCTCCAGTGCCAACACAAGTGGGAGTGTTTCCAGTGAGGCCTGTTGTCATGGGTGTTCAGGGCCCTTTACAGCCTGGGGTGCCTGTTATTGAAAAGGTACGAGCTGTATGCTTAAAATAAAAATTAACTTCCCATCACATTTCATGGCAAGACTGATGAAGCATCATAGACTTTTTGTTTTGTTTCTAGCTTAGTTGTATCAGTGGTCAACATATATATAT